TGTGCTTAAATCAAAACCATGTTTCAAAGAGGGTCATTTATACCTGCTAATCATTAGATTAAGCATCTTAACCCAGTATTGTTTCTTTCCTATTTTTTTCTATGACATTTTCCCATAGCATACTATTTATTTTCACCATTTGCTATAAAGGATATTGTTAACTAATGAATGTTAAAAAGAAATCTATGAGCTCACCATAGAACATGAGTTGGCCCCTTGCAATGTTTCTTCCTCGCAGGTTGCCTGCAGTGCACTCATAGATGCCTTCATCTTCCTGCTGAAAGTTCAGGATCTCAAGGATAGCTTTGGATTTGCTGTACTTGACTTTCCCTGGTAATAGGCTTCCATCCAGCCTCCTCCAACTAATATCAGGGACTGGACTAAAGAGTTATATTTCATTAGAATATAAAATGGCTTAGTTTTTATGACAGAAGGATAAAATTAGAGCAGACTGAAAGAAAAAAATATAAATCTATTATTATACTCTGACTAATTTTCAAAATTTGCAACCATTCACCACTCATTCATCCAGTCATTGATTTAACACTTCAGTAAGTACTTGCTCCATGCAAGCCATGGTACTATGTTCAAAGGATACATTATGAAGTAAAATGGACTTCCCTCAAAGAGCTTATGGACTAGTGGAGAAATATGCAACAATTTTTTTAGAAATGTATAACGATAAATTTTACTAACTGAAGTACAGCAAACAGCATGCAGCGCTAGAAACATGGTTACATCAATTTAAATAGGATAATCAAGATAGCTCTTTGTGAGGACACAAGTATTATAAGTTCTAAGCAAAAATGTAGAATCATTTGTAACTGTGTTGGTGCTAACAGGTTCCCAAAGACGTGTGTCAGGAGTGAGATTATCAAGAGGCATCCATATGATTTGGGACTACAAATTCTATGGTCATCCAATTAGTGTATGTATTTATAACTCCCCCCAAATATATTAAAATAATATATGGACTTACTCACTATTCTATCTCCCCATAGAAAAAAATTAAAAGTAAATTTTCATTTTTTTTGGAATTTAGCATAGTGAATTATGGATATCTAATGTCATTTATATGAATCTACATTTATATGTAAATGTAAATTTATATGGAGTTATATGTATCAATAAGAGATTAATGTAAATTTTTATGGTACAATTAAAAGTATGACAAGAAAATACTGCCTATTAAATTGGTCATTTGTAAAGCGAATCCCTGGTCTTACTTTGGAATCTCTACCTTCCTAGAAAGCCATTCTCTATTTCTTTATGGAGGGCTTGATATTTTAAATATATTTTAACAAACTAAATATACTTTATGATTTAATGTACTATAACCATTTAAATAAGTAAAGAATTGTGATGATAGGAAATTAATTTGCAATGACAAATTTATAAACTTTGAGATATATGCAAGATTCTGCAAGTCAACAAGTGATGTGGGAGGAATCTCCAATCACCAATAATCATACAAGCAAAATCATTGCATCGAGTTGATGCAGACTTATAGTGACCCTATAAGACAGGGTACATCTACCTCTGTGAGTTCTCCAGACTAACTGTGTACAGAAGAGAACGCTCCATGCCGCTGCTAGTTTTGAACTGCAGACCTGTGGATTGCAGCCCAATGAGTAATCACTACCCATCAGGACTCCTGTCCAATCACATATAGTAGTTGTCAAATTATATTCTGCAGAATTTAGGCAATAAATAATTAGTAATGAATCCGGGTGCCATAGTGTGCTACATACTGGGCAGCTAGTGAAAAGTCAGTAGTTCAAGATCACCAGCTATTGCCTAGGAACTAGATGACATCTTCTACTGCCTTAACAAGTTTCAGTCTTGGAAATGAAAGGGACAATTATACTCTGCCCTATATAGTCACTATGAGTTAGAATCAACTTGATTGAAGTGAATTTGGCTATTTTGAAGAATACGTCTGGTGTTGATTCAGGAGAGTTTTTATTTAAATCGGGCAAAAATGAAGCAAATCATAACCCTAAGATAGCTTAGGATTTTAAATTTTAAACATTTTATCATAGCAAGGATAAAATGCAGAAAATCATATCATGTGCTAATGCATATTTAACTCAGACCCCCAATTTACTCATTCATCTATTTTTTTCTTAGACTATAAAGAACATACATTAACCCTGTAAAAAATTATAAGAAACTTAATTTTAAGAGGAAAATAAATAGTTCTGCTACTTACTTGTCTGAATTCATCATTGTTTGTCAGTAGAGACTATTTTTCCCATAATCTCTTTGTGTGCATGTGTGTGTACACATGCACACATGTGTGAAAAACATATTATTGTTCTTTTAGAAAGTTAGCTAAGTCTGAACCAGAGGAGTGGGACATTTTCATGTATTAATAATAGTAATTGCAACATAAGCACAATGGCTACCTGCCATTTACAAGAATTGATCACAAACTATGTATCAGATATTCCATGTGCATAAAATATATAAATTAATATATTTTCACTTAGCTAATGGTAGCACAGTTGAGCTATATACCCAGAAACTTTGTGCTTTTAACCACAAGCTAATATGATCTCATACCTACTACAAAGCTTAGTTCTTGCTTTTACAAATGTGGATTTCTTATAAGAGACACAATTGAGCCAGACAACCTAAGAAATCCCACCAAACTGTAACTTTATTCACTTCCCCAAAGAAAAGTCACACTGAAATAACAATGGAGGAACACTGGACAAGTGTTTGTACTTTCTATGAGTGAAGAAGTTGATCTATATAGTATCTAGACATGATCTGCCAAGAAGAGCAATGCAGCAGATAAAGCCAATCCATCTCTCTGAATCCTTATCCACGTGAGGCCTCAAGTTTACTTTTTTTTGTCCCAACAGTTTTATTGTCACATAATTTACATATCATACAATTCAATAGTGTAATTGTCCAATCATATCAAAAACAATTGTACAATTATTTTCACATCAATTTTAACCACTCCAACCCTGTCTATGGTTAAATCACCTTTAAAATGAGTTGTGCAGTCACAGTCAGTTCTAAAGCTCGCTCTCCCTCCCCTTCTCACTTTCACTGTTTACTCCTGAAATTCCCTCACCCTCCCTATCTCCGAACCTCCACCCCTACACCCCCCCCCCAAACCCTTGTATCAGTTATTAGCTCTATGCATCTACTCCTTCTGTGCTTCAGAAACTGGGAAACCCAAGAGAAACAATAAAAAACAAAATTAAAATAAGATGGTAAGCATAAAATCACAATAATACAAGGACAAAAATACAGATGATTAAGAAAGAAAAGATTCCCATCAACATTCAAAAAGCCAGGGAAGAAATTTATGTCATGGAACAAGTAAGAGATACTTGTACCAGAACAAATTCAGGTTGTGTATATAGAGAGGTCAACTGACCAAGCAGTGAGTTCCGCCCAGCATAATCAAGATTGCCATGGGCTCTGCCTGATAGTAAGGCTGTTCAAGACTCTTGTCTGTGGCCATAGATCTGCCAGGAGCTCAGTCTGATTAGATACTCTGCAGATGGGTTTTGGGGTCCCACTGTCCTCTATAGCCCTCCACAAATTGGGTGTTCATGATTTTAGCTCTGATACTTTTCCCTTTGCCATATTTGAATTTTTTAATTGTCATCTTTGGATCACACAGGTGGTGTGCTTCTTCCATATGGAGCTTGTTGACTCCTCACTTAGATGGTTGATTGTTTGACTACAAGGCTTTAAGACCCCAGGCACTATTCTGATTGATAGTCAGGTACCATCCACTTTCTTCACTGCACTTTGCTGTAGCATCCTTATCTTCAAGGATCATTTTATGAAGGTGAGTATCCTGCAGGATCATGTTATCAGAACTGACTGTTCTTGAATTGGGGCTAGAGTTAATAAGGAGCCCAGACTCTATCTGATTGCCCATGAGGTTTGCACATCTCAGGTTTACTTTGGCATTCCTAATATGACAAAATCAAAACCCTATATGATCAGCTGCACCCATATCAGCCATAAGGCAACGAGCAATCAAACAAAGAGCACACACATACAGAAAGAAAGAAAAACAACAACAACAAAAACAAGCTACAAACAGGAAAGCAAAAACCCTATAAACAAATGTGCTGCATTGCCAATCACTCTTCTGGAGTATAAGTCGACTGCATCATCAATTTTCCCAATGACCCAGCACTCCAGATATGTTGGTCTGAGGATTCTATGTGACTACAGTTCCACCTTGAGCCACAACCCACGAGTTTTTGCCCTACACAGTTTGAGTTCCTAATCGTTAAGTTTTCTTTTAACAGTAAGTAAACAGCATGGTGCCATGGTGTTCAAGAGGTTCTAACCTACCAGCTGCTCAAAGAAGAAAAATGTGGCTATTTGCTTCCTTAAAGATCTCCTATAGCACTGAAAACCGTATGGGGCAATTCTACTTTTCTCTACGGGGTTACTATAGAACAGAATTGACTGTAAGTGGCATGGGTTTGCCTTCACAATGAATCATCTAAATAGCAACTAACAAAACAAGAACAATCTGTACTTCTGTTTCAGCGAACTTTCCTCTAGCTACTGTAAGTCAGTGTATATTCACAGAAAACATGGTATACTTTGAATTTAAGACCCCACCCCAATACCCCTCCACCAGGGACAGTCCTTAGCCAATGGCTGGTGATAAAAATGCTCCAATTCCACTGTCACCAATGGGATAACTCTCAGAATGACCACAGTTTCCCCGCACGATTAAGGCAAATTTACTTTCTCTAGATTTTTTGCCTGCATGTCTTTGCCATTGCTTGACTTGCCTCATTCCCATAGTCCACCTTCCCCTGGGTTCTCCCAAGGAGCTCTTGTAAAAGATTATTTTACAAAAATTATCTTTTTCTGGTCTGTTTTTGGGAAAACCAATTATTTAGAATCCTCAGTTAGCTTCATCCATAAATCATGTGTGATGTTAGTGAAAATAACAGACATGTTACTTTTAAATACTTCCAAGTAAAGCTGTCTCTCTGTAACACAGACACGTAGAGAAATAGAAGACTGTGGAGGGAAATATCAAGGGTACAACAAAACCAAAGAATGAACCCCCCGGAAAAAAATCAGTCCTCTATCAGGACAAAATTACACTAGAATAAATAGCAGAAGATTTTAAAATGCAAGAGAGGCAGGGAACTGACAGAGCAAAATACGTTTGTTACTTATAAAGGGGTATTTCAATAGAAATTTTCATTTTCTCACATAAATTGTACTTGGAATGTGAAATCTTCTCCCATAAACCATCCAATTATAGAAAAGAGTATAATATTTTGTGTATTAAGTTTTAATTTGAAGACCTTTTTATTTTTTGGAAGAAGAAAAAGGATGTAAGAATCAGAATTCTGGGTTCCGGTTTGCCCTG